AAAAAAAAAAAAAATTCAAATTAGCAAACGGGAATTTTTTAAAAAAGATCTCTCATTGGAAAAGCATAACACATTATTAAGAAGTATTCTATAATTATAAAAAAATAATTATTTGGTGAAAAAATGATTACGGATGTCTAACATTTAGAAAGTAACAAACATTAACAACAATTCTATCTGATGGTGGAAGTTGGGAGGTATTGGGGGAGGGTGGGGATATGGGGGCATAGTGACTAGGGAGGGAGGGAGGAGGGAAGCCAGATGGGAGAAAAAAAGAGTGGAGATGAGCGAATCTTGGGGATTAGGAAACCTAGAGGGAAAAGTGATGCCCTAGAAACCCTTTGAGAAATGCACATAGTGTCTAAACATTGATGCATATGTATACCTGGGAGCTGCTTGCCAGCGAATGCAGTGTCAGACAGAAGAGACTTCCCTTAGAGTGACAAGCATGCCATACAGCACTCATCAAAGAAGTTTCTTTTTACAACTGAGGGAGGCTACTGCAGAGTTGTACATCTGGTCAGGCACAGAGAACATACGCCTGGGAGATGCCCAATACTAGGTGACACATCTATAGTTGAATCTCTACAACTAAGGCTCATGGACGTAGAGGAATAAGGGGTAGACAGAGGGCTAACGCACCTCTCAACTCCCATCAATGAGGCTTCCTTATACAGCAGAGTGCAATGCACACAGAAGGCCACAACTAGCCAAGTTTTGGAAAATAAGAGACTGTAGAGTGTAGGATGGGACTCCTATATGGAAACTTACCCACCCATGGCTCAGGGACCATTGTAGAAAATGGGGCAGAAACATTGTAAGAACCAGGGCTGGTTCATGAACACAGGGAGGTGGAGGCTTCCAGGTCACTGGAGGCTTGCTCATGTGAGCCTGTGGCAGTGATGGTGCCAAGTGCATGACCCATGTCAGCTCAATTAAACAAGGGGAGGTGAGAAATAGGTGGCAGGCCAGCATTAGATTGAGAACTATTTGAGACTGATTGTTGCTGGGTGAGGGAGAGTATGAGTTACATACGAGCACTGGATTGGCTGACAAGACACCAGTGGACGCATTTACACCAGAGGACATTTGGGTACAAACACCTGAATGAAAAGGACCCAGCATGTATGGAGGAGGGAAGTCTGGATTTGAGTGGGAGTTGTATGTTGTATGAAATTTAAAAAGCTCAATTTAAAAAAGTTATCTATAAAAAAAAGAATTCCTATCTTACAATCAAATGAAAATATATTCACACAGCCAAAATCCAAACTTTGTTCATAATATTAAAGAGCAAAACAAAGTTTCAGACAAGATTCAATCTTATAGCTTAAAAACAAAAAACAACTAAGTTTCAGTAAATCTAACCCCTATATAATTAAACTAACTAGATTTATCACACTGGAGGGGACTGAATTCAAATTCATATTATGATTTACAATAAAGTAAAATCATATTATGATTTATAAAGTAAACACAAAGTGTCTCCTGTCTATTCTGATATAAGCTATGATCACGTTAGCACCATAAAGCCATGAAAAGATTAAAAAAATACAGTCCATTCACAAAGTCAGTCAAGCCACAGTGGTGAGGGTACTGACTTAAGAACAGACATCTACAGTTGCCCTTAAAGACTATCTTCATTTTCATTTATGAAACTGAAATTGTTACAGAGTGCTCTACAGACTGAAAAAAGGGTTGAGTATCCTTTCAGAGACGATTAGAACTGAAGTGTTTTGGATTTTTTTCTTTTCGAATTTTGCGTGTACACTGTGAGATATTTTGGGGGTAGGATCCAAGTCTAAACTGGAAATGTACTCATATTTTATATATTCGTTATATACACAGTCTGAAAATAATTTTATACAACATTTAAAAAATTTTCATTATAAGGCAAAGTTTATATATATATTTTCACTGAACCATTAGATCTGGGGCTATATCTTTGCTAGCAAAATTTGGGATTTTTGGAATAGAAGTGCACAACTTGTTATTATTCATATGTAACTCAAAACGGACAGTATGATAGTGAAGAGTTCAGTCACTCACCATGGGCTGATCTTCATCAGTGGGATAGGGAAGCAGGTAAAGAAGACTGTGCCAAGGAGAAAGGGCTTCCTGCCCCACACGTCGGAGAGGGCGCCTATTAGTGGAGCACTCAGAAAAGAGAGCAGGCCCTACAGAGCAAACAGAAGTAAAGGTTAGATTTAGAATGTGAACTCCTATTACTTGTAACTATTCTACATGCACGAGTTCCAAATCATCTTAATGGCCTCAAAAAAGAAACTCGAGACATTGAATTCTCCAAGAAGGGAAGAACTCAACTGTAACAACAGAGCTGAAGTTAAGGGGAGACAAAACAAACTCACATCTACTACTTGTTCACAGTTTGCCAGTCACTGCTGGCCACTTTCAAATCACTTTCTCAGATAAGGGGGGTAAGTGGGCAGTGGACAGATGAGACATGGGAAGGAAAATGTTGACAATGAACAGGGTAATGAGTATACAAGTAGTGGTCATTATTCATTTTTGTACGTGATTTTTCTAATATATTCTTAAAATTTCTCCATATATTATACAAGGAAGACAATGAAATCTGCCCTTCACACAAAGCCTATGCTATGGCTATAAGTAATACTTGCAGTTCTGTCAACACACCACATTCCTTTATGTCAACTGACTTTCACATAAGCCCCTGTTCCCATTCCCACACTTGAAGCCAGTGAATCGATAGCTTGTTTTCTTACTAGGAACAAAAAGCATCTCTATCTAGTCTCTTAGCTACTGAAGCAGAATTCATTACACTATGGAAGGACAATAAAAGAGAATTTCTGATTTCAGGTTTCATACAATACTTTCTTTTTGGTGTTAGGGATTAAATGCAGGGCCTTGAATATGCAAGTACTCATCCACTAAGCTATTTCTCCAGCCTGATGTATGCTATTTTTAGATAAAGCATATGGGAAAGGAATTTTATAGAAAAAAAAAGACATAATCTTCTACACCAAAGACTTAAATTGTATTTTAATAGTTTAAATCAAAATCTCAACGAGAGCAACAAATACTGAAAATATGTTCTAGGTTGTTAATATGCTAAGATGTAATTTAATAAAATACTCACCTCTCTGAAAATCCTGTATTTCTTAAAAATCAGACTGTATCTAGTTTTTTTATGATCCCACAACTGGCCCTAGATCACAGCAGGCTACATACTCAGAACTGTAGACTAAACAGGACATTTTATATTTTTTATTTTATTTTTTTGGTCTTTTTGAGACAGGGTCTCCCTGTAGCCCCAGCTGTCTGGGAACTCACTATGTAGACCAGGCTGGCCTTGAACTCACAGAGATCCGCCTGCCTCTGCCTCCCACCTCCCAATTGCTGGGACTACAGGCATGCGCCACCATGCCCAGCTAAACAGGACATTTTATAATTGGATTGACTAGGCAAGTGTTTTCTCAGTATAGAGAAAGTTGAAAACTTAAAGTCTGACTGACAAAAAAGCCCAAGGTTTTACCTGAACATAGTTTTCATCATTCACAGCAGTTACATTCAATGAAGGCACCACAGGAGCTGTGAAAATGACTCAGTGGTTAAGAACATTGGCTGCTCTTGTAGAGGACCTGGTTTCATTTCCCAGCACCCACATGGCAGACAACAACCCTGGTACCAAGGAATCTGATGCTCTCTTCTAGCCTCCATAGACACTACACGACACAGGTGTACTTACATATGTGCAAGCAAAACATTCACACACATAAAATAAAAATAAAATAAATTTACAAACAAAATAGTAAAGGGACCACAAAACACTGAACTAGCGACTATAGATCCACCACTTTCATGAGAAACAGTACTGAAGTACTATATATGAAGACAAAAGCACTAAGGGGTTATAATCAGCAAATAGATAAATTTGTAAATATAGAATCCATAAATAACGATTGACTACATTCATATTATTTGATCAAACATAGTGAGGCCCCATCTCAAAAAAACCAATACCTAGAACCCACGTAAATGTTAGGTGGGTGAAGCACCCTACCTGTAATCATAGCATATGGGAAGCAAAGATAGGGAATCTCTGGAGCAGGTGGGCTAGTGAAACTAGCCGAAACAGCAAGCCCTGGGCTAAGAGAGAGATGGAACCTCAATACGTAAGGTTAAGAATGATTGAGGAAGACGTCAACCTCAGTCCTCCACATGCATGTGCACACACACATACTCTCTTACATATGCACCCACACACATAAGTACCACACTCACACACACCAATAATAATAATATGGCTTAAAAAATCTTTCTTTTTATTATTGCCTTTCAGGTTTCCTTTTTTTTTTTTTTTTTTTTTTTAAAGACAGGGTCTCTCTCCCTGTAGACCAAGCTAGCCTAGAACTCACGGTGAAGACCAGATCTCAATCTCATAAGAGATCCACCTGTCTCTGACTCCTGAGTGCTGGGATTTAAGGCATGTGCCCCACCATGCCTGGCAAGTTTCAGGAAATTTTAAGTAGACATTAGGCAATCATACCAACTGGTCATAAAGGAAATGACTGCTCTACCTACTCTTACTAACCAGTAGGCAAATGATATACTTCTCACAGAGTTGGAGCAAAACTTTCCATGATAATTACCTTTACATGCCAATTTGGCTTGCCTAGTATTTGATTAAATAACTGGATATCATATTCTAACTACTGAAATTTCTAGTCCTTAATTTAAGACTTGGGCAGAGGAGATATCTCAGTCTGTAAAGTGCTTGCTAAACAAGTATGAAGACCTAAGTTCACTCTCCAATATCTATGTAGAAAAGTCAGGCATGCTTATACCCTAGTCCTGGGGAGACAGAGACAGATTCCTGGGGTTCAGTGGCCAGCCAGCTTAGTCTACTTGACAAGCTAATGAGACTCTTCTTTCAATAAAGCAGATGGTGCCTACTAAGCAGTAACAACTGGAGTTTACTCCCTGGTCTCCATACACAAATGCACACACAAGCATGCAGTCACATACATACCTGCAACCACATAACCACTCATACACACACATCCCCCCTCCAAAAATTAAGGTCTGCCTTAGCAGCCCCCAAATAATGTGAATCAATTCATTCATATTCAGTGCTAGGGAAGAAAAACCCAGGGCCTATGCATGCTAAGTAAGTAGTCTACCACTACATCTATATCCTCAGTCTGTTTTTTGAGATCAGTCTTACTGTGTAGCACAGGGTGGTCTAGAACTTATTACCTCCTGAGCGCTGGGATTATAGCCATGTACCATCAAATCATGTCTCTTAATACAACAGTAAAATAACAGGATATGAGTGTGTATTGTGCTTGTTTTGTTACTAGCAATAAAAAGTTGTATCGAATTTCTCCAGAGAATTAAAACAATTTCTACCATGAGCTTAAAATTTCATAAAAAGGAAAACAGAAAAATAGAAATGTGAGAAATGAAACCACTCTGTGATTTTTTTGTTTATAATTGTTAAGATGAAAACTGAATGGTTACATATTTAGAGGATCAATAAATAGAAACCTGAAAAGAAACTAAACTGAAAGTCTAGAACTGAAAAGCATAATAACTAAAATTTTACAAATCCAATTGATGAAATAATGCCTGAAAATTTCCAAATTTTAATGAAAGAAATGAATAAAACCAACCAAGAAGTTCAACAATTCTGAAATAAACTCAACTCTATCTTCATACCACTATAATCAAAGTTGAAATTGCTGTTTTGAGATAAGCCAGCCTAGGCTACATAGCAAGGCCCTTGAACTTGCAGCAATTCTTCTGGCTCAGTCTCCCAAGGGCTGGAATTACAGGTATGTGCCACCAGGCCTGGCTCGGTAGGGGATCTTGAAAGCATAGAGATTCAGTATACATATGAAGAATCAGCAATAAGATGATAAGCATCCCACAGGCAGAAGCAAAGAATGGACTTCTGAAAGTTGTTCTCTGACCTTCACAGGAGTGCCCTGGGACACGCATTGCATAAGGAATTTGGGAGGCAAAAAGGAAAATTTGAGGTAAATTTTTCTCATCATTTTTTCCTACACATCCATACATATCTATGTTAAAATGAAACAGAGCTATATTGTTTCATAATCTGCTTATATTGTATCTTAAAAATGTGTTTGGGGGGCTGGAGAGATGGCTTGGCAGTTAAGAACCCTGGCTGCTCTTGCAGAGGACCCAGGTTTGGTTCCCAGGATCTACATTGTGGCTAACAACCATCCGTAACTCCAGTGCCAGGAGATCCAATGCCCTCTTCTGACCTCTGTGGGCATAGCATGACACAGGTGCACTTAAACACATGCAGGCAATATATTCATATACATAAAATAACAAATATTCTTTTTATGGCTGGGTTGGTGGCGCATGCCTTTAATCCCAGCACTCAGGAGGCAGAGGCAGGCAGATCTCTGTGAGTTCAAGGCCAGCCTGGTCTACATAGTGAGTTCCAGGACATCTGGGGCTACAGAGAGACCCTGTTTCAAAAAGAACAAAAATAAATAAATAAATATTTTTAAATGTGTTCTTTATATGCTTATAATAGATACATGGTTTTACCACATGCAATTATTTTTAAAGGCATTTTGTTTATTATTACAAATAGCTAAAAAAAAATCTTTTATCTGAATAATCTTTTATCTGAATTTCTAAATAATCCTTTGGCTTTTTTGGGGGGGGGGCTTTTTGAGATAGTCTCCCTGTAGCATCAGTTAGCCTGAAACTCACAATGTAGATGTAGACCAGGCTGGCCTTGAACTCACAGAGATCTACCTACCACTGCTGGGATTAAAGTATGTGCTACTATGCCTGGCTTGAATAATACTATTTGATTAGAACAATTTTCTAGAAATGAAACAGAAGTGCTTTGATAAAATGAAGGGAAAAGTCTTTTTGGTGACAGGGACTGAATCTAGAACATTAAGCAATCACTCGACCACAGAGCTACAGCCCCAATTCTATATGATTTTGAATGTTTTTGTGTGTGTGTGTGTGTGTGTGTTTGTTTGTGCTTTGAGAAGTACCAGAGATTGAATCCAAGACCTTGCATAAGCTAAGTAAGTACTGCTGAGCTATGACCCTTGCCTGAATATTTTTTTTAATACTGAAGCTTTAAAATTATTTATTTTGTACACATGTGTATGTCTCTGTGGGTGGTGCATGGATGGAG